CAGACCGTACCTGGTCTGAAAAGCAATTTTGTACTGGTCCTCATGTCTAATAGCAATTTGATGGTATCCGGACTTTAGATCTATCTTAGTAAAGTACCGACATCTCTACACTTTATCCAATAGGTCATCGATGCGGGGTAGGGGCTCTGCGTTCTTTACTATGATGGCATTGAGGCCCCTATAGTCAATGTACATCCTTAAGGTACCCCCCTTCTTTGGGACAAATAAGACTGGCGCACTGTAAGGGGAGGTACTTGGCCGGATCCATCCCTTTTCTGTGAGCTCTTAGAGATGGCGGCGGAGCTCATCCAACTCCGCAGGAGACATCCTATAGATTCGTCTTCTAGGCACCTTGCTACCTGGAACAACCTCTATCGCATGGACCACTTCCCTTTCTACCACGCCTGTGGGGTCCTAAAAAGGTCGGAATGTTTTGCGACGACTGATTTTATCTCTGGGGGTGTTTTAACGGTCTGCCCTTTTTCAAAGATAAAGACTAGATACATGCCCTCCTCATGATTTTGCTTATAGTAGTTATAGAAAGAGGAGGTACACATGCAGCCGTAGTTTTCCACTAGACTGCTAGCTTTAAACTTTTACAGTCTAACGGTTCTATTGAAGGGCAGTTCGTCGTTGACGAGGAATGAGATTTTATGTCTCACTTCCCCTTCCTCATAAGAAAAGGTACCGACTACGTCCTTGACATAGTCTTTGACTAACATTTGGTGCTTGTTGGTTAGCGTAGAAGCTACAGTTCTGCTAAGTCGCTGCACTTGGTCCCCTAAGCGCAATCTATCCACACAAGCACGATTGGTGAAATTCCGTGTAGTTGCGAAGACACCCACTTTGAGGCCACCTATATCAACCTCTACCACGAAATGTCCACCCTTTGGACCTCTACTGATCATCGCCCAAGAGTCTCCGAGGTCCTTCCCAGACCACTCAGACTGTAACTCTTCCAAGGACTCAGACCACACGTGGTTAACGGGGACCCCCCAGTTTCAGCTCCTGGGTAACAGGTCCAAAACTGAAATCAGGCTTTGGGGGTGAAATTTTATGTTTTTTTGGTTTTTTTTTTTTTGCTTGTTTTTGTCTTACTTCAAGGTTGTTGTGTACCAAATTTGGTCTCATTTGGAGCATTGGAATTTCCTCTGATAAGACCATTTCCAAAAACGCTGAAAATTTTGAAAATTCGCTGAATCCAAAATATCATTCAAGTGCACCTTTGCCTTACTGTTTCACCCTGTTTTTATTTTATTTTATCGTTTTTTTTCTAATGGTTTGTTAATATGTTGTGCACTCTATGGAATGATGCAATTTTTGGTTAAAAAGGGTTTCTGGTTTTCTTATAAACAGCATTAAAAAAATGCTGAAATTTTGGGTCTCCGTTAACCGCCTCTCACTCAGACCCATCTGTCAAAAAAAGCGTCAGTGGGTCTGAATGTGTCTGCGGGGCGATTTTCAGGTCACTAGCCTTGGCCAACACCTGAAGTGGGGAAGGCAACATTACCACTTCAACGCGAGTAAGAGCGGCTAACACTCCTACTGGACCGAGGTGTTTGCAGAAGCACTGCGAAGTGCTTGCAGAAGTGCTTGCAGAAGCACTGCCAGGGTTCGAGGATAAGCTCACCACCGTTGGAGCGGCTACCCTCGTGGTGACCTTCTTGCCTCGACAAGTCCTAGACGTGTGGCCATAGTTGCCACAATTCATACATGTGCCCCTGGCAACACGGTCCCTCCATACCTCGTAATCTAAACCAAGTTTTACCCATGCGGGTGTTCCTTGGTCGCCCTCACCCGTAGACCGGCCTACCTTCTTCTTCTCGGTCCCCTAGCCTTTTTTTTGATAGGCGCCACGACTCCCCCATCCGAAGTCTCACTGGCCCCATCATGCTCTGTCTCATCCCCTAGATCTGGGAACTCGTTGATTTTCGTCATCTGACCATCATGGTCAACGAACATTAACTAACCCTTCTTCTTCCAGTCTTGGGGAAACTTTTTCCTCCTACCATCTGTTGGACCCTGATGCGCGGACCCAAGCTTTGCCTCTATACCTAAGGCCTTCTTGCTGAAAGAAGCGAAGTTGTGTTGGTCGATGTAGGCCTCATCTACCATTATAGTCTTTACCTCTGAAGGCAGACATCTCAAGTAATCCGTAAGGAGTACCTGTTGGTCATAGCGCACACCAGGTACCACGAGTAGACGTTCTACCGTATCTGTTATCTCGCGAACATTCTTGTACCTTTTGGCACAAAGATTGTTGATCGCGTCTGTGGCCTTTTGAGCCTCTTGAGGGTCATGCCACCTATTATACACAGACCGTACAAAGTCTTCCAATGTCTGGGCCTGAGCCCAGGCATCGAAGTTCTGATCGTAACCCTGTTGCTGCACTAGGCCATTCAACCAGCGGGTTGCTGACCCCACTAAAAAGGAGACAACCACTATAACTTTTTGCTCTAACCTGGTGAGCTTGTGCCTCACATATGTGGGTACAGTTCTCACTCTGGTGTCCAGGTCCTAAAAGTTTTAGGACCTTGCAATGGGATCTTTGGCATCCACTGCATGGGCTGCATTGGCACAAGAGATTGTTGCAGTCACTGCATCGCCACTGAGACAGGTTGTTGCGAACTTACCTGAGCATGTCCTGACGATGGGACTGTAGTTACCACCGTCGTAGATGGTATGACAAAAACTCTAAGGATCGGACCACTAGTAGCTACATAACCACTTGGAGGGGGCATGCCAAAAATAGGTGACAATGAGGGCCCAACCGGCGAAGGCGTCATTAATGGACCCGCAACCGAAGGGGGAACTACAACAAACTGAGGCTGCCTCACCACTGAACGAGGAGCCTGAAGTGCAACTAGAATTCGTTTCTGGCCTGCCACTAGTTCAGCCAACACTTCCTGTTGAACAACCTGCGTCTCAGCCGCACACAGGAGCGAATTCCGCAAGGCTTGCATAGCGGGATCAAGTGCGGACTCATCTAGTGCCTCTAGCTTGCCTAGTTCCTGCAATCTACTACCTAGTCTAGCTTTTTTCATTACAACTCTTCTTCTTCTCTCTGCTGCCTCATCCAACTGCCGCTGTAGCTCATCCTGAAGTTCTTCTGCTTGAAGGATTTCATAATCCTATGACGTGAGTTGAGCCTGTTGGCTGACTTACAAGCCAACACTCCGGCTAACGGAAGCCTGAGAACCACTCTGACTGACTCCTGGCGAAGTGGCCTATGAAGAAGCCTGTGACATGGAGGAGGTGGCCATGGTTGCACATGTGCTAGCTATAGCTCTAGACCTGGCGCTGGCCGCGGCGTCCCTCGCTCTCCTTGCTTCTGCCCTCTCTCTAGCCTCTCCCCGCAGTCTCCTCTCGTCTCCTGGACCTAACTCTAGGAAAGTCAAGGGTCGACTAAGAGCAGTTCTACGAGTGATCCTAAGGTCATCCACTAACAACTCCTCCTCACTAGTGCTTGCATCACTCATGAGCTACAATGTGTATGATCTAAACTAGAATCCACATTGAATCCTACCTCAGCATGACACACAATCGAGTATGATATACAATTAATTTCGGTCGGCCAGGACAAAAACAGTTAGATAGTTTAGTGTCAACTAATGTCAGATCCTGCAGGGAACCGTAAATCTATTTTTATATTACTCTAATACAGATTGCAATGCAGCAAGAATTATTATACCCTATCTGCGGTTGTCTGTTAGTTGTTAGTCAAGTCCGTAACAACTAAATAATCAAAAATAAAAATAATGTTCCCTGCAGAGATGTATGCCGAATGGCAGTTTATCTAATTAATGTCACCGCGAACAGTTACCGGAATCTAACCCTTTCCCCGTATCCCTCTTGAGCTATGTTGCACGCCCGGCCGCGGCCGGGGGGTCCGAGTCGGCCGCGGCCTAGGCCGATGACCGAATCGGCTCGGTTCGGCCGAGGCCGACCTGCCGAGTTCGGTGCATTAATTTTTTTTCCCGTTTTTTGTGTGTAAAATATATATATATATATATGGGCGTGTAGGGCTTGAAAAGCCCTACACGCCCTTTTTTTTTTTTGGGTGTCCTACTTTCGGCGCGGCGCAGAAAAAAAAAAAACAGAAAAAAAAAAACAAAAAGGCCCGGCGGGCCATTTTGGCTCTGTTTCGGTGCCAGCGAGTGAGGGGCACCGTGTGGGCAGTGAGCAGTGTGGGGAGGGCGGTGGGTCCAGGCCCAGGCCACGGCAAAACTGTTGCCGTTTCAGATAAATGCTGCCATTTATCTGAAACGGCAACA